CCAGCAGTTTGTGATCTTCTTTTATATCTTTATAAATATTAAAAATATGATCGTACCCTTGGGGGCCCCCGCTTCTTTGGAGCTAAACAAAGAGGAGATTTATATAAACAATATGTTGAGAAATGTTGTAAACCCTTATTGTATGTAGATCTAGAGAGAAGAGATAATACAGACATTCTACCTAAACCCTAAACCCTAAACCCTAAACCCTAGATATTTAAACCCTAGAGAGATGAGCTGTAGATCCTCCCCAAGCAGATGCAAGAACATAACCCTCAGTTACGCTGTAACAAACCCCCCTTTTAGCTCCCTAGGGTTTAGGGTTTAGGGTTTAGGGTTTAGGGTTTAGGTATACCCCAGGCCCCAAGCGAGTGAAGAGGGGGCCCCCAGGGGCCCCTACTGAACCCTGCAGCAGGCAGGAATAGAGAAGAAGTGTTTTGGTAGGGTTTAGGGTTACTGCGATGCGGCAAGGAGAAGAATTAGGGTTTTGTTTGGGGTGTATGTACACCTGAAACTGGCTGCATGAGCTGTCGATGGGTTTGTGTGGGTGGAGGGTAGAGAACTGCTGACGAAATAAAAAATAAAAAAGAAAAATTAATTTAAAAATTAAATTAAAAAAAGAAAAAAATAAATATAAATGTTTATATATTAAAAAACAAACTCAGCAACTCATACAGAACCAGTGGGGTGTACATACACCGCAGATGCAGCAGCAGAAGAACCGCTGCTGCTGCTGCTGCTGCTGCTGCTGCTGCTGCTGCTGCTCGTATAGAGAGAAAAAGAAGATAAAATGTTACAAATAAAAATTAAAATAAATGAATTTAATCAATTAAACCGTAAAAAAATTGACTCTAAACCCTAAACCCTAAACCCTAAACCCGAAACCCTAAACCCTAAACCGTAAACCCTAAACCCTAAACCCTCGCCGCTACTGCTGGCGCAGTCGTAGCCGCGGTGTTTGTTTGTGGTTTTTTTTGCTTTCTTCTTCATTTAAATTAAATATTTGAGTTTTAATTTATAAATATTTATATTTATTGTCTTTATTAGGATAAAACAACTGCTTTTTCTCTCCTTCTAGCCACACACAAGCAGGCGAGCGCAGCCGCTGGTGTGTACATAGATACACCGCAACAAGGAGCTGCCTATACACCCCAATCTTTTGTATATTTTCTTTATAAATATTTCTTTGTCAACGCTTCAATAGAATCTACAGCTCGTCCCTCCAAACCCTAAACCCTAAACCCTAAACCCTAAACCCTAAACCCTCAAGATGTTTTCTTGCTGCTGCTCCGACAGCGCCACCCGTGGTGAGCTGCAAACGGAAGAGAAGCCCGAGGGTTTAGAGGGTCCTGTTGAGGGAGAAAAAGCAGCAGCAGCAGCAGCAGCAGCACCAGCAGCAGCAGCAGCGGAGCCAGCAGCAGCAGCAGCAGCAAAAGATGCAGCAGGAACCGATGCAGCAGCAGCAGCATCGCCGCCACCGCCAGCTGCAGCAACGTCACCAGAACCAACAGCAGCAGCAGCAGCAGCAACAGCAGCAGCAGCAGCAGCAGCAGCAAATGATGCTGCAGCAGCAAAAGAGGGAGCTGCAGCAACAAACCGAAAAATGCAATTCACACAAACAAAAAAACAAGAAGCACCACCCGCCAAGAAACCCATGACTGTAAACCCTAAACCCTAAACCCTAAACCCTAAACCCTAATTCTGAAGCATGTAAACTTCTTTTCACATCTTAAAAAACACCCAACAGAAAAAACCCTACACCCTAAACCCTAAACCCTAAATACATCTATGGTTTCCTACCCACGCACACGCCGGGGTATCTAGGGTTTAGGGTTTAGGGTTTAGGGTTTGGGGTTTAGGGTTTAGGGTTTTGTTGCAGGCCCCAACAACTGACCGCGCGAGAAGAACTTCTGTGCCGCTGGAGTGCCCGCTAGAAGAAGGCGTCTTCCTCATGTAAACCCTAAACCCTAAACCCTAAACCCTAAACCCTAAACCCTAATTTGTATCATTTGCTTTGTAGCTGCATCTCTTCTTCTTTTTCCTTCTCTTATAAATAAATAAATAAATAAATAAATAAATAAATATGCATATATATTTTTTTCTTACTCTTTTGTCTACACTGCATCGTTTAGGGTTTAGGGTTTAGGGTTTAGGGTTTAGGGTTTGTGTATAGGTACGACAAGAGCAGCGACACTATATACGCCCAGTGGAGCGTAAACCCTCAACCCGGAGCTCTTGCTTGGCTCAAACCCCTCGTTGCTATCCCGGGACATAAATTTAAAGTTAATGGAGGAAAACAAACCCTATTTACAAAAGCTGTGGTGAGGGTTTAGGGTTTAGGGTTTAGGGTTTACGGGGGGGGGTAGGGTTTAGGGTTTAGGGTTTACGGGGGGGG